CTGATTTTTTTTTTTGGCCGACGCAGGCCAAGGGAGAGGGGACCCCCTTTTGCGAGTTTAGGCCTTGGGCTATACAAACATATTCCTCTCTTTTTCTAAGGTAAGTGGAGAGGGGGCCCCACCCCCCCCCCCCCCCCCCCTCTTTCTCTCTCAGTGGCAGGGAGCCCCCCCCCCCCCCCTCTCTCCCCCCCTCCCCTCCCTCTCCCCCCCACAACCCACCCTCTCTCCCCGGCTCCCCCCTGCCCTCCTTCCCGCCCTCCCCAGCTCTCTCTCCCTCCCCCCACCCCCACATATAGAGATGGGGGGGGGGGGATATATATATATATATATATATATATATATATATATATATATATATATATATATATATATATATATATATATATATATATATATATATATATATATATATATATATATATGCAGATATGAAATACCAGTGTTTTAATAAATCCTGTTTCATTGTTATAAAGTGTCTCCTTACACACGGCGAGTTGTTCTCTTTCTGTTTCAGTGAGGTTCATCCTCTGGGAACCACGCATGTGTATAAAACATCACCTATTCAAAGGTTAAAGGTATTTCAGTCTGAATCAAAGTGGACGAACGGATATATTGATCCAGAGACGTAACGGGGAAAATAAGAAAAGCACAAATGAATAATAAGGAAATGAAGAGAAATGATTTGAAGATGAATGAAGACAGCGGCAGCGTGATAATGGAGGGAAGACGGGGAATGAATCGCTGTGGCCGCTCGCCTGCACGATGGCGTTAATCACCTCCACCCTGCTCTGGCCTCCCCAGAGGCTCCGCCCATTCGCTGGCTGGCGGAGGAAGGAAACGCCTCCACCGAGATGGACTCAGTCAGAGGACTTCTGCCTCACACTCGCTCCTTGTCCCCTTTGGAGATCCACACAACGTGGAGGGATGGACGTGGTCCTGGTCTCCTCTCTGCTGGGTGAGTCTCGGTCCGACATGGAGAGAGTCTTGTTGAAGACGAGGGAGCGTCAGAGAAAAGGTCCACAGATCTTTTCACTTCTGCTTTACAGAGTTAAAGGTTTTACTCAGGAGATTTATTCTTTGCTTCACATCCGAAAATACTGTCAGCCGACCAAAGTAATGCGTTGATTTAGATTCAAAAGCTATAAATGTAGCGGAGGAGAAGTGTGTGCGTGTGTGTGTGTGCGTGTGTGCGTGTGTGTGTGTTTGTGCATTCCTTGTGTTCCCATGGGGACAACAGAACAAACTGTCATTAAGCTGCAGGAAGCTGTGTGCCACTCGGAGGAATGTGTCATCACAGTTACAGACCTCATGAGACACTTCAGGCCTCCAAGACGGAGACGAGATGGAATCTGTGGAGATTAGATGAGGACATGATTACGTGAGGGGAGGAGGACACAGGTTTATGGGACGAGAACATGAGCGCATGGAGACATGAGGAGACGTGTCTGTGAAATCATTTCTCTGTATTCCAGGTGCACTTGTTCTCCAGGTGGCTCCATCTGAAGGTACTGAAGAAGAGAGACACACACATGCTCCCAAAGCACGAGACACGAAAAGCCCCTAACGGCGTCCCCCCTCCCACAGAGACCCTGAAGGTCAGCGTGTGGCCTCCGGGGTCAAAGGTCTTCCTCGGTGAGAGCGTGTTGCTGCTCTGCACCGTGGAGTCCGGCTCCGGGTTCCAGTGGAGCTTCAACTGGTCTGAGCCCGCCGCGAACCCGGACCCCCGGCACCGGGTCTCGGGCGACAGCTACTTCATCGCCGCGGTAACGAGGGAGGACGCGGGCGCGTACCGGTGCCGCGCCGACGGGCGGAGGAGTGGCGCCCCCTCCGTGGCGCTCCTCGCCCCGCCGGCCGTGCTCAGCGTGTCGGGTGCTGCTTTTAATTCTTCTAATATTCTAGTAGCTTCTTCAAGTCAGTGCTGGAAATCTCTTGCAACATGTGATATTTCTCACGGGAGATATAAACACATCAAAGCACGTTTTTCTTTCTGACCCTTGATACACCGTTCCTACGATTGCACTTTTCCTCCCCTCACTGCGTCACGACTAGAACCACATATGTTTCCTTTAAAGGGAAAGTCCTTACACCCCTTTTCCCTGCTTCCAGAGGGGATGAGGACTTTCTTAGCAACGCACAAATGATTACTGCATGGAACATCTTCTCCTGGGAGAAGGTTAGTAATAAAAGACATTCAAAGCTTGAAGACCGTTGGAAAATATTAA